ATTATTACCCGAAGCACGCGCTTCGCCTCGCTCGCAGTTGGTGCACGCTCGAAACGCGTATATGTCCGCGCGTACTCGTTCATTCATCGCGGTCCACGGTGGCAGGAACCACCGTCGTTCGTAGAATGAATACACGGGCCTGGGGTCCGATATGTCATACGTACGAGGCTATGTTGCATCTCGATGCGTTCAAACACTCGTCGGTGTTTCTCCCGTCCTCTCTTCTTCTTCTACGTGTATACGAGCGAGTGTACATCTGTGTGTGCGTGTGTGGCCGGGGGCCTATTTTTAAACCGGTCCAAGACTATTTTTAGAGTCAGCCTTTCACGTAGTGCCCACCAGCGCTTAACCCTGACTTCCACCGTCCTACGTTTTCGTGGACCTAGAGGGACACAAGAGAGGGAACATCTCGAGTTCCTTGACTCGTTTATTTCATTCTCGAGAGATATAAATCGAAAATCTCGTGCGCCGATCTTTTTTCCCTTGCGAGAGATCCTTACGAGAATTTCCACCCTCGAGGTGGAATTACACTTATTAGCTGTTGATAATAACGCGCAAACGTATTACGACAACAACGATGACGCAACTTCGCGTTCCTATTTCTGGAGGCAGACGTGTGAATCGAACAACTCACCCTCTGCCCTGATTTCGCGTTCTTCGTGACGCGAGCTTAAATCCAGAGAGGAACATCGCTCGATTTATCATCGAATATACTGAGTTTTGTTTCGTGAATGACCTATATACTTATATATATATATATATATATTTTCTCTCTTCGATACGAAAAATTGACTCGAAGTTGATAGAAGGTTATAAACTGTATCGAGTAGGAGAGATCTCTTAATAAAAATAACGATAACAAATCATCGAACGTAAAGATGTATTTATAGAAAGAACTCGAGGGCCTGAATCGATCGCGCACGTCTATTAATTATTCCAGAGATTCCATTGGAATCGTGGTCGAGAGAGAGAGAGAAAAGGAACGATCTAGCAGTGGGAGGCTCTTAACGAGAATTTCTCGTTTTCTCCCTCTTGAAAGTATATCGATTATATAGCAACTGGTCGAAAAGGGATCAACTTCGTTTCGAAGGAGCAAAGGAAGAGGAGCTAATCCTTCGCGCACGCCTTCGGTTACCAAATGTATTAATAGCGTAATTAACTTGGAGCAAAATCGCGATTATAACAGCGCGAGGTGTAATGCGATAAATTATGATGATTTAAAGCGACTCATTGATCACGCGAAGTAATTCATTTCCTTAATTGCCGACCGTCGTCTGGTGAAGTTGGAATAAGGCGAGGAAAGATAAAGCGGCGAGATGCATAAATAACGACGATCGGCAATGTCGCAATTGGACGCGATTCGAACTTGTGAGAGAAAAAAAGAAGGGAGAAAAAAAAAAGAAAGAAAGAAAAAGAATCCTCCGCAAAATGCACTTCGCGATCTCTTCGATGTAAACAGATCCGCGAGCGGACGATAATCAATCGTTTAAGCCTCGTGTTACGATTAATGAATCGCGAGAAATAAGCTGGGAGGATTTTTAAACCGTGCAAAAAACGTATTCTTAGACTTCAATAAACCCTCCTCCCGGTTTATCTTCGACGTCTCTGCTCGTGTTCTCTCGGTCGAATCTTCTTTTTTCCAACATCCTCGCATGAATGGATGCACAGTACCCGGGCATTCGGGGTGTAACGAGCCGCGTGCACTCAAATATAGTTGGAAGCTTTCTTCTTCTTCTTCTTCTTCTTCTTCTTCTCTCTGAATCTCTTCTGTTCTCCTTCCCTCCTTCCTTATAAAACTAGATAACATCGATCTAGTTTTTAGCTAAAATGAAAAAAGAAAAATACCTTTCGTAGAATAGCAAATAAATAAAAGTTAAACGAAACTTTGTCGAATTGCAGGTGAATACCGGATCACCGGCGGAAGCGGCCGGTCTGAAGGCCGGCGATGCAGTAATCAGGGTGAATAACACGGAGATGTACAATCTGAGGCACAAGGACGCGCAGGACGTTATCGTGAGAGCCGGGAACAACTTCGAGTTGACCGTACAGAGGTAGATGCAGGCACGGCCGAATCTTTTCAACATTTCGCGTACATCATTCGATTCTATCATTTCGATTTACCTCGATTTGTTCACAGAGGTGGAGGTACCTGGAAACCGCACGTGTCTCCGATAAGCTCTACCCTGCCCTCGCCGTCCCCTACCAGCGGATTGTGCAATATAGCTCCAGTTACGAAAACATCGTTGGCGGCCAAGAAACAAGATGGGCCGCTCATAGGGAGCGGTCACAATTTCAGCCCGAAACCATTCGTTCGTGTCGTTCGTTAATCGACAGCTAGATGCTCCAACTGTTCATTTGATGATTTATTTCGTGTTTATTCGTGTTGCAGCTTAATGGAACGGGAGACGGTTCGATCAAATCGATCGTTAACAAACAGTACAACAGCCCAGTAGGTATCTACAGCGAGGAGACCATCGCGGAAACTCTTTCCGCGCAAGCGGAAGTTCTAGCCGGCGGTGTGCTCGGGTAAGAGGAAGATCGATCCATTGTCCAAGATAATGAAAATATAACAGTATATAGAAATAGAATTCGATAATAACGGTGTTGTAATTGTTTGCAGAGTGAATTTCAAGAAGAACGAGAAGAATTACAATGCCGAGAACAGCGAGGTATTCAAAATGGTTCAGGAAGCTGACAAAGAGCCAAAGACACCGGAACCTGGTTAGTAATCAGATCAGCGTTTGCAGAAAATTCTTAACTTAGAGAAAGAGAAAGATCGATCCATTCTCTTTTGATCTATGAAATTTATATTTATATTTGGAACGAGATTCCAGTTGTTCTTCTCTCTTATTTAATATATATATATATATATAATTATTGTAAACGAAAGGAAATGAAAAAAAAAAGAAAGAAATCAAAGAAAAATCTTTGGAGAGTCGTTACATACGAAGAGTTGTTGTAACGGTAGTCGGGCGCGTAACAGTGGAACGAAGGAATCGTTAAAAAGAGCGTGACGCGCGATAAATAATTCTCTCCAGCGATTTTTCGATTGGATCAACTGGCTCCAGTTAGCCTGGTGCATGCCGGTACGATAACTTCTTTGCGAAATAGCGGAGCCAACTGCGCAGAGCGGCGTGATTACGCCGTGCTCGCCGGCCCTGGCAGGACTGAGGCCAGTCTCGGCACCGGAAACGAAGCAGCAGTCGCAACCGTCCACGCCGCAATCGAGCCTTCCACCTGGACAGAACGTTTGTGCCGAATGCGAGAGGCTCATCGTGTAAGTTCACGCCAAGAGGCGCATCGCCCTCTCGGTCGTTACTTTCTTTCTTTCAGAGGCATCGAGAAATCGGGAAAGGGACAGGAAAAAAAAAAAAAAAAAAAAAAAAAAAA